TTTGTGAATCTGAGGAAGGAGAGAGGAAAGGGTGGAAGCTAGGTGCTCCTTCTCCCCACCCTCTAATGTCAAGTTGCTGACACGAGCCAGGGTCACTGAGGAGCAAGGATAGCTGCCTGGGCCACGAGAGTCCAGAGGAGCAGCAACAAGCATCTAGGGGCTGCGATGCCACAGTCATGCCTAGTGACATGGATGCTGTGTGACTTGTGCCACTGCAAAAGATGTTGAAATTCATCCAGTATCTGTGAGTGTGACGTTACTTGGAAATAATCTTTGCAGATTATCAAATGAAGATGAGGTCATTAGCATAGATCCTCATTGAGTGGCTACATTCCTAAATATAAAAGAAAAGCTAAATGTAGACTCAGGGCTGGATGCATGTACAAGAATAATACCATGTGAACAAGAAGGCAAAGATATAAGCAGTACTTCTGGAAACCAAGGAATGCCAAATATTGCCAGCCAAGCACCAGGCGTTAGGGCAGAGGCCTGGAAAGATGCTCTCACGTAGCCCTCAGAAAGAATCAATTCTGCTAACACCTTGATCTCACACTTCTAGTTTCCAAAATTGTGGGACAATAAGTGTTTGTTATATAAGCCACTGATTTGTGGTACTTTGTCATGGTAACCCTTACAAACAAATACATGCATTTTTACTCAAGCTGGATTGCCAGCCTTTCTGACATTTTGTGGAGCTACTCAATGTCCTTCTTATACATTCTTTTCCTTAACTGGATTAGTCCTTGTTTGCCCCCCTAGAATCCTAACCAACCCTTCCTTTGGAATCCATTTGTCCTATATCCGTCACAACAACTTTTATTTCCACTTTAAGATTCACATGGTTCTTGGAGAAACTAGTTTCTCTCAGGACGCAGGAGTGAGCTCAGGACTTCTGCTGAGCAAATCAACAAACACCATGATTCTTTCCCAAGGAACAAGTCCCTGAATATGACCCAATCACAGTCAAGTGCCAGTCTTTTAATAAAAATGCTAAGGCAAAGATAGTCTGTCTTTCTGGATATATATAAATAAAGATACCTGCAGCCTAGCAAGTCAGGCAAGCTTGCTTCCACAGAAAACAAGAAAGAAGAAAAGAAACCCAGTGCTTGCAATGTCTTTGAACCACTGGCTCAGGCCACACCTGAAATCAGCTTCTTTCTTCTCTAGACTTCTTATCACTTCAGCTACTGGTCCTTGATATCATTTAGGCCAATTAGAGATAGTTTTTCTGTTTTCTCTAGTGTGAAGCATCTAAACTGGGATGCCTCATTTATACTGTAAACATCATCCTCAGAAATTTCATAAGCCTTTAAATTATGTGCTGTTTGAGAAACCACCAACAGAGTGAAGAGATAACCTATAGTGTGGGAAAAAAATTTTGCTAGCTGTTCCTCATACAAAGAACTACTATCTAGAACATATAAAGAAATTGCACCCCACCCCCTGATTTAAAGGCCCAATCCAAAAATGGGCATCTGACATGAACAGACATTTATCAGATGAAGTAGAAACAGCAAGTTTTTTAATTACATTTTCAATTTCACTGATTGTAATTGGGGTGTTTAAAATGTTTTTACCTTCTTTGTTCAACTTTGGTAGTTCATAAGTATCTAGAAACCTGTCCATTTCTTCTGTGTTTTCCATTTTATTAGAGTACATGTTCTCAAAATAGGTATTAATGATCCTCTGGATTTCTGTTGGATCTGTTGAGAGTTTGCCTTTTTCATGCATGGATCTGAGGCTTTTCTTTTCTTTTTTTTGATCAGGTTTGCTAAGGGTTTATCAATTTTATTTATTCTTTCAAAAAACCAACTCTTCGATTCATTTATTTTTTTGTATCATTTTCTTAGTTTCCATTGCATTCTGGACAGCGCAATAGGCAAAGACTTTTTGTGACATAACCCCAAAAGCACATCCAACAAAAGTACATGTAGACAAATGGGATTGCATTAAACTAAAAAGCTTCTCCATAGCAAAGGAAACAGTTATCAGAGTGAAGAGAAAACCTACAGAATGGAAGAAAATATTTGTAAATTGTGTATAAGGGGTTAAAATCCAGACTGTAAAACAAAAGAGCAAGAAATCCCTAATAATCCTGTTAAAAATAGGAAATAAATGTATATAAACATTTCTTTTTTGTGTAATTTATTTTTTAAAGTTGTTGAATTTTTTTTATGTATCTACAGCAGAGTACAAATGAATGTTACAAAAATTAACCTTTCTCTGTTGACAGTTCACCATCCCTGCCAGTCCCTCATGAAATTTCATTTTTATATCTTAGTGATCACTATCTTCTAAGGTTGGCTTTCATTTTATGTGATTGTTTACAGTCCACTTTTAAATATTAGCCTCTTAAAGGTGAAAAGTCAGTCTTACTACTTTTTCCCCCTCCATTCCTCTCTATTTACAAAGACTTTGTTTCCATGTTTTCCCCTTCTCGTATTTTTTTCCCTTTCCTTTCCCCTACCCCTCCCACTTCCCCTACTCCTTTAGATATTTTCCTCCTATTTCACAATATCAATTACACACTTTGATCCTTATTTACACTGTTAGTTTTTCATACCAGAGAAACTATTTGGTATTTACATGTGTGTATCCTATTTATTTCACTTACAAGTATGGCCTCAATGTAACATTGCTAAAACTAAAGCATATAAATGAACAACATTCTTGCTTCTTTAAATACAGTGTTTCATTTGTTCTTTCTAGTATCCATATAAAGTGAGTGATAATCTCATTTTTGGAGTGTTATTAAAATGACTTATATAATCCAGGCTTACAATGATTAGGTAATATGCCCAAGCTCTAATAGTGCTTAAGGTGTAGAACTTCCAAAATGTTTAACATCAAAAATAATGAGAAAAATGCATATCAGAACTTCAGTAAGGTAATTATCTCATGGACAGAAGGCTACTTTCTATGGCAAAAGAAGGGGCTTTGGGATATATTTCAGTGATAGTGCATACTTAGTATATCAAGGCCTTACATCTGATCCATAGCAGTACCAAAAATAAAATAAAATAAAATAAAAGAGAGATACAAAAGATAACAAGTGTTGGTAAGGATGTAGAGAAAAGGCAACCCTCTTACGTTGTGGAAATATAAACTAGCCATTATGGAAAAGTATAAGGTTTCTCAAAAACTTCAAAATAGAACTAGTATATGACCCAGCAATCCTATTTGAGAATATGTCCAAAGAAAATAAAATCACTATTCATAATAGCCATGAAATGCACGTTACCAAAGAATGAAATCTTCATTTGCAACAATGTGGACGGAATTGGAGGTCACTAGGTAAGTGAAATAAGCCAAACAAAGAAATACAGGCACTGCATGATCTCACACATATATAAAATCTAAAGAAGTTAATCAGATGGAATTGAGCCTAGAATAGTGGTTACCTGAGGGTTGAGGGAGTGATGGGGAGAGGGAAATGGGGAGAGGCTGAGCAGTGGGTCCTAAGTGGCAGTTAGACAGGAGTAGAAATTCCAGTGTGCTATTGCACCAGTAGGGTGATTATCCATTGCAACCAAACAGTAGAGGAGAAAATTTTGCATGTTGCTGCCATATGAAGAGCTAAAGATTTGAAGAGAGAAATTTAATCTGATTACACATTGTATACAAATATCAAAACATCATGTGGTGCCCCATTAGTATGTACAATTTTTATGTTTTTATGTATCAGTTTAAAAATAAGTTTAATTTTAAAGAAAGAATTGTGTCCTGATTCATGTTTTCAAGAGCTGAGTCTGTAAAGGATCTATATGCACTGTTAAGCCTTTATAAAGCACTGTAGAAAAAAGTAACTGGAAAATTGCCCTTTTGGTAAAATGCTCACATCACTGGAAGAGCTAACTGCTAGTGTGAAAGGATTTTTTTTTTTTTTTTTTTTTTTTTTTCAGGGATCAAACTCAGACTTTTGCGCTTGTGAGGCAGGTGGCTGAACCATTGAGCCAAATCCCCAGCCCAGAAGGGCATCTTTTAAGAATCACATTCTGATTCATGTTTTCAAGATCTATGTATAGTACCTATAAAGGACCTATATGATGGGCTGGGGGTTTAGCTCAGTGGTGCCCACCACCTGCTTCAGAAGCGCAAGGTTCTGAGTTTGATTCCTGGTACAATAAAAAAGGACCTATATGCTCACTGTTAATAAACCTTTGTAAAGCACCTTGGAGAAAAAACTAGAGTGTTGCAGAACTAATAATAATAATAATGGTATTATTTTCTATTCAGGAAATGGTTAAAACTCTATAAAGTGCCTTCATATTTCAAGTGCTTTAATTACTTAATTTATATAACTCTTGATTTTAAGTTTACTGAATATTTACTATATGTCAGATATTATGCTTGCTTCTTTAAATAGTGTTTCATTTGTTCTTTCCAGTATCCATATAAAGTGAGTGATAATCTCATTTTTGGAATGTTATTAAAATGAGTTATATAATTCAGGCTTCCAATGATTAGATAATATACCCAAGCTCTAATAGTGGTTAAGGTACAGAACTTGCATTCAAGCTTCTTTAGTTGACATACCAGGCTAGTATTCTTCATTTAATAGCATTTTGTTTTTTTAACATAGAAAATCAGAAATATATGTTGTTTTTTTTATCAGTAATAGCAGCATTTCACTGTTATTTTCCACACTGGTTACCTGTTTTAAATATGTGATAAAATTATATTTTTAACCTATGCAAAAATGCTTTATATTTCTAAAGGCTGTGGAAACAAGTGCTTTTTTTCTATTGTTATCTAGTAGTTTTCTATAAGCGCTATGACTCATACATCTATTTTTATTTTGTCTAATGTGACTCATGTAAAGTGCTGAATAACTGTAAAAATAGACCAGGTAAAATTGCCCAATAACTGGTAATGGTTATGATCATAGTGTCATTCTCTCAATGTACAAATGTTAATTGTAATTTAATTTTAGAATACATTCTTTATTATACATTGTATTCATTGGGCAAAAGCATAATCTAACTTTCTTTTCTTGTCAGCAACTTGAATTGGTGGAACCAAGTGGCTGGATTCACGTTCCCTTAACTGATAATCACAAGAAGCCAACGCGCACATTCATGATACAGATTGCTGTTCTAGCCAATCACCAAAATGGAAGAGACACCCACATGAGACAGATTAAAATATACACACCTGTGGAAGAGAGCTCTATTGGTAAATTTCCTAGGTGTACCACTACTGATTTTATGATGTATCGTTCAATAAGGTGACTTTAAAATGGAGTAAAAGTGATTAAACATGTTTTATCGTCTCATTAGATATTGATATAATCTGATATAGATATCTTTATTGAAAAATACCAGTTATTTTGCAATTTTATATATGTTTAAAAGTATTTTACTTTGATAAATAAATCAATTTTTGGTCATATTGTCTGTTTTCGTTAACATATGATCATGCTCACATATTTTGTATTACTAAATTTGAAGCCAGTCATATTTTCTTGTGTTAAAACTAGTTGAACTGAAAATTTTAAGATGTACACAAAGAGGTTTTTTTTTTTCCAGCTTTTATTTTTTTATAGGTACACGTTCATAGTACATAATGATTACATTCCTCATGGGGCGTTAATTTATATACACAATACTTTTAAAATCTTTATCCTTCCCCTCATCTCCTCCCGCCCTTGTCCATCTCTTGGTCTCCTTTCCTTTTGCAAAGGATCTGTTTTCTTTTTTCTTATTACCTGTCTTTTATTTTGCTTTTTATTTATATGTTGTGTTTCCTATATAAGAGAAATGTTATTTTTAGTTTTGTGTGTCTAATTTATTTCACTTAATATTATTTAAATGTTGAATCTTTTTAAATATTGCAAATATTTAAAATTGAATATCTTGTCAAATTGAATTTAACATCATATGTCTGATAAGAACCCATCTGATTGTGGGGATATAATTAATTGTCTCATATTTACTTCCATGAAATACTTATAACCCAAGGGTTGTGTATATCCCAACAATATCGTGTTGAATATTGCTAGATCATCTGTGGTTTATCTCAATTCTAGTGATAGTGTTAGTTTTAAATTTGTTTCTGACATCTTAGCATTCCCTGGGTATAATATATCCTGTGAAAATTTATAAGTATATGAAATTAGTCTTTACAAAGATTTAAAATCAATAGGGCTAGGGATTTAGCTCAGTGGTACCACTGCCTGCCTTGAAAGTGTAAGGACCCAAGTTCAATCCCTGGTTCCAAAAAATAAATAAATAAATAAAAAGAATGGTTTAAAATCAATAGTTGATTCCATATGCTTTTTCCTCCCCATGTCTATTACCTTTGAGGAGATGGTTACTGAGCCATAGAACTTCCTCAGATTCACTGGAAAAGATTGCTTGGTTTTTCATGCATTGTGGGTATACATAGTCTAAAATAGAAAAGTTTAAAAAAACAATAGTGTGTTTGTTTTATTCTGCAGAGTACTATTTAGACACTGTTGAAAAAACTTTTACTCTTTCACTAATCAAACATTTTGCTCTTCTTCCTATGAGCTCCAGAAAGTTTTATTATTTTTGTTTTGTTCTCTTTGAAGTAAAAAGCATGGTAGTTGATTTATAGGGTCAGCAAAAGTTGGTAGTCAAAACATACTTGAAATCACCTAATTCTGTAGGATAGATGTGGGATATTGAGCTGCATGGAAGAAAGGATGGAAGGAAAACACGTGGGGAACTGAAGGAAATAGAGAAAAGTGAAGAAATGAGAATGGAAATACACATTGGGGATTGATGCTTAATAGTCCCATAAACAGCAACATCTTAGTTTAAAAGAAATAAATTTAGTTCTTACAAAGTATAAGAGGTTGTATTCATGATACAGTTCTGCTTATTTAAAGCTTGCTTAAAAGAAAAGGAGAGGATGGTTAACCTTTATCTACATGATTCTATCATTTATCTCCTCCTAGGAGTTTGCTAAGAGAATCCTAAAATCAGGAAGGATGAAGAAAATTGTTGTGAAAACGTTATGTTTTCTATTTTTATGCCATTTCCATATTTGTCATGTATCAGTTGACTATCTCACTAGGCATGGGAGAGTTTTGTGGCTGAGGATTATGGAGATAATGCTTCTTATTACAAGGATAATTTTAAATGTAGGTAGACTGTGTTATATTAACAAATCATAGTTATCTAAAGCAGTAGTATTTCACTTTTTGTGTTCATGATGCTGGAGATCAAACTTGGTCTCATGCATGCTGTGTGCACCCTACCAGTAGACAACGTGGCTAGCCCACATTTCATTTTTTAAAATGCAAGGGTGTAACTCAGTAGTAAATGCTCACTTAGCATGTGCAAGATCCTGGGTTTTGGCCTAAGCATTTTGGGGGGGAACCACATTGTATATTTGACAAAGATATATATCTAAATTCTTACAATTCAGCAGTAAAAAGAAAAAAATCCAATTAAAAAATGAACAAAAGATTTGAACAGATACTTTTCCAAGGAAGATATGTGACTCGACCATTATATTCCTTTGTATTTGCCGGAGTAAAAAGAGTGTTTCCATATAAAAATTTATACATAAATGCAGCTGCATTTGTAATACAGGTTACTATCTTTTGTCCATAATGCTTAGGCTCTGAAGTGTTTTGGGTTTTTGGATTTTGAAATATTTATGTATACATAATGAGATATTTTGGGAATAAAAATCAAGTTTTTAACATGAAAATCACTTATATTTTATATGCACCACAGGCCTTGGTAATTTTATACCATATTTTTAGTGTGCCTGCATTTCCACTGTAACCCGTTATGTGAGGTCAGGAGTAGAATTGTCTTTTTTTAGCAACATCAGTGCTGAAAAGATTTCAGATTTTGGAACACTTCAGATTTTCAATTTTCAAATTAGAGATGTTCAGTTATTACTTAAAACTTTCTAGAAGTAACTCAAATCTGGATTAATAGGAGAATGTATAAAGAAATTAAAGTATATCCATATAACGTAAACTATTCATATGTGCAAAAACATGAATGAATTTACAAAATAATTTTAAGAGAAAAAAGATGTATAAATAGAGTACATACATACGATTAATTTTAAAATAAAATTCTAGAAAATACAGACATTTAGGGCTGGGGATTAAGCTCAGTAGCACTGTGTCTGCTTTGCATGTGCAAGGTCCTGACTCTGATCCCTGGTAACAAAAAAAAAAAAAAAAAAAAAA